CCCCCCCTCCCCCCCACGCCCTCCGATGAAACTGGCCTTCTCGATCACTAATATTCCCATCATATCGCTACTTTCTCCCCTTTTTCTTTGCTTATTATCTGAAAGTTAAATAATATCTGCCGAAATAGATAACCTGAATATACTTATCGTTCATTGCAACAGCAGATTTTGCAGCAAGCGAAAGAAAAGGCGGTAACAATGTGAGTAAAGCGGCCGCTTTGCAATCAAATCCTGAAATTTTTGATGAAAATCACTTGGGGAACAAAAATATCACTAGAACATTCGGCAATGATAATGAAACTGAAAGGAAACTGAACCAAAAGAAAAACATTTGGAGTCGACTAGATGTATTTTTAATAATTTACTGTAGTCCAGTAAATGAAACACCCAGTTACAATTTTACTGGTTTGAAAGCTTACTTCTGGAACAGCTCAGTAAAGAGCAGGAAACGCGGAATGCAATGGATTAGAATAACATGTTCAGTCAACTATCCTAATTACTGGGCCAAATTAGTTTACAGACACCTGTCTTACTTCAAGTAACGAGTATTTCTAGATTAATAAGACTGAAAAGGAAAGAATTCAAACAGTCAAAACGTCAAAATCACTTCAATTTATGATTATAATGAAGCGTTTTTCTGAATAGAAAAGGACTGAAGCGAAATGTGCCGAAATGGTTACAGAAATGAACCAGGACACTGCTTGACCAACATAAGGCTGCTCGCCATTTGGCTCGCATAACACTACCGTTGCAAGAAGGACTGCCCCACGCTGCCAGAAGGACAGTCCCTCAAATTTACCAGAAAGATACGTAGCTTGAACGACCAATACGCAATTACTTCTACAGACAAGGCATCTAATAATTACATCCTTATTTGTAAATTGCTGGTGACGCGCACCGGACGGGCCCGTGCGATCATGCGTTTTTGCAGTATTTCATGCTGTAGTGAGATCGCTCGAAAACCAAGTAATTAGGATTTGTGACATACTAATCCTCGAAATTCGGGAAGTTAACTATCTACGCGGTACGTGGAAAGGAACAATCCGTTAAAATTCCAGCTTTCCAATTTCTCTGGTTTTTTTTTTCTGCAATTTTTCTGCCAAAAAATTTCATGGGTCCGTACTTGGGAACCACACGTATATGGGAGGTGAATTTGATATCTTTAACTCTTATGGGAAGACTGAGAAAACACCCTAAAATTTCAGCCCCCAGCATTCCCATTTCCCGAGTTAGCCGTTTTTCCGTCAAAAAATTTCACGGGGTCGTACGTAAGAACCACTCATGCTTGGGGGCTGAATCTGATAAATTTTTGTTGTACATTAGCTGCGAATATTCCCTGAAAATTTCACTCTCCCAACTTGCCTAGTTCCCGCGTTAGCCATTTTCCCGCCAAAAAATCTCACGGAACCGTACTTGAGAACCATGCAAATCGAGGGGCTGAATTTGATAAATTTGTTATACATGTGCTGAGAACGTTCCCTGAAAATTCCAGACTCCCAGTTTTCCTAGTTCCCGAGTTAACCATTTTCTTGCCAAAACTTTCACCTTCTCGTACGCTGGGCCCAGACTTGCGTGAGGGTTGGTGCCGCGGTCCTGGGGTGGTCGGGGAACCCACTGGCAAAATTTCGGCGCCGAGCTTGCTTGGGTGCCGAGTTGAAATAACCGGACAGACAGACAGACAGACAGACACACATATACATACACACAGGTGTAGCCAATGCGCGTTTTTGCATTTGCATATAAGCAAAAACACATAAAAATACCCTGTTCAATTGCACTGTCTAGAATTAGGCCTTATGCATCTGGGAAAGTGCTTGATAATAGTGTTTACGGTCCAACTAATATGAATTCTGAACAAATTATTAGTAGACACAGAACCTTACTGGAAAGCTTTGCGATGCACATTGCAGATAGCGATGACCACACCTCCATTCTATACGCCGTCCCTAGGCTACACAAGAATCCCTATGACTACAGATTTATATCTAGTGTATACCGGCCTACACTTCGATCTCTAGCACTGACCGTTCATCGCACTTTGGATAATCTTAGGAGTTACTTTCAGAATTACTGCAATAAGGTTACTGAATACAACGAAAGACAGGTGGCAACAACCACAACTCGGCTCGGCTCGGTTCATCTGGTGGTCGTTGGTGCTTTGGAAGCCCTCTGTCATCTCTGGTAAAGGTATTTCGTGGCGCCGCTCACCGAGACCGTTTGGCAGCCTGCCAG